TCCTGCATACTATTACACAGTTGATATGTACAAAAATACCTACAAAAACATTTGGGTGCACCAGTGCACCCACAGAAAAAAATTGGGTGCACAGCTCCAATTTTGGGTGCACTAAGGTGCACATTATTTCCAGCCCTGTGTGTGAACCAATGACTCATATCAACAGATGGTCTAGCCTGCAGCAGAGGCATTATATAGACTCTCTGACCCTCCACAGTTCATAATCTATACATTAATACACCTTTAATTAGAACTACATCACTGCAGATCAATTCTCCTTTAATTTGAATGAATTCTTAATTTCTGGGAAATGAGAAAATGAGTAATCGTGGTTTTGTTGGGATAACCTTTAGAGACTGGCATTTGGGAAGTCTTAAATAGAAATTGGTCATTATTTCTGCAAAAGTCATGATTTTAGCATCAATTTGGAATAGGGCATTTTTTGTTTTGTTTTCGCGCTTCACTACTGATAAAGAGAATGTCATGATTTGATTTGGTTCAGGCAATATACCATAATTCTAAATCATCTCATTGCAGATGCAACTGTGTGCTCTGAGGGCTATAGAAACTAAGATGGGCACTGCCCTAAGCATCAGAGGTGTTGGAATGAAAATACAACGTACAACGGCTAAAACAAAATCCTATATGGCCATGCATTCAAATGGCCTTGCAACAAAACCTGAATCAGCAAAAAAAAGGGGGAGGGGGTCAAAGCCTTCCACAGAAAGCCCGTGCACTACCTGTAGTAAAATTAATTTCAGTACTCTTTTGACTATTAAATCGTAAAACAAAAACCCAGGACCATAATAATGATACAGTCTAACAACAAACCCTGAATCAGCAAAAAAAAAAATTCAAACGATCGTGCACTACCTGTAGTAAAATTAATTTGATTACTTTTTTGCCCAGTGCCTGTACCAGAGTGGATGGTAATGGGCTTCCCTCTCTCTCTTTTGAAAGTAGACAATGTCCGTGACTCATCCTATTGTGGAAAACCAGCAGAGCGTGAAGAACTGATTGTGTTCTACGGAGAGGCTCACATCAGCCGTTACTCACCAAGGACACACAGTTGAATAGAATCAATCAGCTCTTAAAGTTTAAAGAAAAAGTTGAGCTACAAAGTTTGGAAAAATTCCTGTTGAGTGATGTGGAATAATAAGAAGTTTGGGGCACTGCCTTGAAATATAATGTTCCTAGTATGAATGGCATTATTAGAGAGTCTCAGACACATATAGTGTGGGACTAGGCCTTGTGCACTGGCCTTGTGCTTACTACTTGTACCTGTACATTATTTGGGTGCAAATTCTAGGGTCTGTCCTTGGTGCTGAATCACTGGTGCTGACTTAAACTAAGCCTTTTCTTAGAAATGTTCCATGATAAGTTCATGGAAGAAAAATCTAAAATTATTTACTTCTTATGTGGGACTAGGCCATGTACTTTGTATCTGTAACATTATTTAGGTATAATTTCTAGGCCCTGTCCTTGGTGCTGAATCACTGGTGCTGACTAAAACTAAGCCTTTTCTCAGAAATGTTTCCATGAAAAGTTCATTGGAGAAAAATCTAAAATTATTTTCTTGTAATGTGGGACTAGGCCATATACTTTGTACCTGTAACATTATTTAGGTATAATATCTAGGCTCTGTCCTTGGTGCTGAATCACTGGTGCTGACTAAAACTAAGCTTTTCTTGGAAATGTTTCAATGAAAAGTCATTATAAGAAAATGTAAGATTCTTCACTTTTACAGTTCTGATTCATGGATTACTAAGAAAGCGTCACCATGTTTTCATTTCGTTCATTTACAGAACAACATTTTAACACAATTTTAGCGTTTCAACATGCACCAATGATTTAACACCTGTTCGGTCCTGTTTCGATTGAATTTTACGGCGCGGGAGTTATTGCCCACCTAACTGAAATGATGAACATTAATTTTTACCACGTAGTTTAGCGGCTAATTGAATGCCTGTGATGAGTGCGTAGCGAATCGTAAAGCAACCTGTCACTTCTCGCGTAAGCAATTAATCAACTGCAGGCGTTTACACCCTGTAATAGCTGCACGTATTAAAGGTTACAAAGAGTTCAGTGAAAAATGGAATATTAAATGATTATCGGTAATGATTTGTGCGAGGAAGTAATTAATCAGGCAATCGTATGTAAATCCCTTTATTGTGAATTTGACCCCTCGGCTTACAATTATGATAATTTTGAAAAATTGTATGATTTTTCTATTAACCAATTGCTTTGCAATTATAATACATTACAATTTGCAATCATTTTACATACTTTAGGACTTTATGCTATATGATTTTAATTAAAGGTAGGTATGACCCTTTGGCTAATACCGTAACAGTTATAATGAATAGAAATTATACTTTAAAACAGTATACTTTATATTTTATTTGCAAACTCGTGCCCAAAGGCTAATTGATAAAACATAAACTACAAGGAGGTAAAAATGTCTAGTCTATTGAATATATCTGCCTTTTCTTTGTACATTACTCCTAAAAGGGTTGACTTCTTTTTTGGAGACAGTGACTGATGAATAATCCAACGTTTCTAATGATAACTGATTTAACTTATAGAAGCTTTGAACTTACAGCACATTCCATTTTACACACCGTATGAATATATACAATGCATTAGTCTATAAGTATGCATTTTTAAGGCAGACTTGTTGATATTTGATGCGAGAATCACGCAACGTCGGATGTGGTGACCCCCGGGACAAGCGTGCAGCATGTCAGAACAGATTACATCATGGCTTTTGCTCTATCATTCATGGGAGAGCTGGGTGGGGGGATGGGAGGGGTCTAAAAAAAGTAGAAAAGAAAAGTAGAAAAAAAGAAATTAGAATTTCTCAAATGTTAAGATAGCTAGTGAGTGAGTGAGTGAGGGAGTTAGTTGCACATGCAATTTCATAGGCTGATTGTACATTCTGATGTTGTAAAATGACGTTCAATTTTATAAAAGTTAGGTGAGAACAGTTTTTTTTTAGTCTGGTAGACAGTCTAGTAGATATACTCGATATCTAGGGTCTTGAATTGTTCATTAATTTTTGTCGTAACCAAATGAGTGATGTAATGATATTATACTATCTGTTGTTGTTTAGTTCTTTGATCTGAGTACCTTGAAGATTAATTCTTAAAGCCTTTAAGATGCATCTTAACTGGTGAAGACAGAGCCCTGTCTCCTTAAAGGTTGCTGAGTTCACCCCCGATCCCCCACGAGACATTTCTCCCCGGTGCAGAACTGATTACAGAGTGTCAAACAGACCAAATGAAATTTTAATAATTTAAGCCGTCTGATCAAACGGCAGTGATTGGATCCTACATTATTCAGGTGCAGGGCGGCCGGTTACGCCCCTAACAATGGTCGAGTTGTGTTGGACTCAGTCCCTAACGGTTTGGGCAAAAAGCTTCTGGACACATCTAGAGGGAAAACCCTGCTCTCAGAAATTTAAAGTTGATATGCATCACTGGCCATTCTGATTTGATTATATGTATGACATTCTTAGTAAGGGCATCCCAAAACTGATACAAGCATGCAGAAAAAAAGTTGGGTAAAAATATTTTTTTTCCATTTTAAAATATAAGAGGTCAATCAGGAAGGTTACGCCCCTAACAATGGTCGAGATGTGTCAGACTGAGTCCCTAACAGATAGTATATGCATTACTGGCCTTACTGATTTGATTATATGGACGACATAATCTGAGGACCTCAAAACATGCTAACGTGCAAAAAAAGTTGGACTTCAATGCATCAAGTGTTAAATGTAGGGACTCAGCAATTGTACATTACTGTTGGTAGAGCAATTTATATATTTCAATCACTGACGAAAGCTAGTGGATACTAGTTGAAACGTCTGACGTTTTCAAAATCATATCCAGTTGCTGGAGTAACTCAGCTTTTTGGCATATATATTTCACATTTCAAGTCTTAAAGAAAAGTGTTCTCTAGGTCTGTTGCTTGCTGTATAAGATATAGCTTAAAAGTGGAACATTATATAAAAGTTGAAAATGTATGTGATGCATCTAGTGTCAAAATGCAGACACTCAACAGTTGTGCATTAGAGATTGAAGGAAAGGGTGCTGAATTACAGAATTGGCCATTTAAAAGGGACATTTATTTTACTAATGCACCACTGTACATGATACAATGCACATTTCTGTTTCTTGATGTATTGAAAATGTTGAATGTCGTAATGAAAGTCTTGAATCATTTGAGCTGTGTGATGCATCCAGTGTACATTCTTGTAGGGAAAATGGCTCAATCATGTTAAAGCCATTTAGAATAAAAGATAAAAAATCTACCTCTGTGAATTATCCAGAGGTGTGAGTGGAGCAAACCTTACAGTCCAGTCTTACACAGCTTGCAATTACGTGTACGAAACTGGCATCTTAAGCCTGAATGCAATATGTTAAACAAACAAACAAACAAACAAATACCGTTAAAATTAAGACAATTTTTGTTTTTCCTTCCTCACAGCCTGTAAGGAGGGGACATTCAAGCCTGGTGCCAATAACTACAAAAACACAGACACACAACCAGACACACTGAAAACAAAACCTCTGCACCTACATGTAGGTAATACATGTATTTATTATTGTGATAATTTCAATTAAGAATTAATGAACTAAAAATCTTTGTTTCTTCCCCACAGCCTGTAAGGAGGGTACGTTCAAGCCTAACGCTGGGAACTATGAGTGCATGCCGTGTCCTCTGTACAGCCATGCAAAACAAACAAATAAGAAAATAAAAAATACACGGTTAAAATTAACACAATCTTTGTTTTTTTTCCCCCCAGCGTGTAAGGAGGGTACGTTCAAGCGAATAACTACAAAAACACAGACAAACACACACACACTGAAAGAAAGAAAGAAGAAAACAAAACTTCTGTACCTAGGTACATGTAATACATGTATTTACATGTAGTATTGTGATAATTTCAATTAAGAATTAATTAACTAAAATCTTTGTGTTCTTCGCCAACAGCGTGTAAGGAGGGTACGTTCAAGCCAAACGCTGGGAACTATGAGTGCATGCCGTGTCCTCTGTACAGCCACGCACTCGTTTCCGGGGCAACACGATGCACATGCGACCGCGGGTACTACCGATCGCCGCGGGACAAACCAACAGACCCATGCACAGGTACGTCAAGTTTCAATTTTTTTTATTTCTCTATCTCAGGTCTACGGAGCTGTTTTTCACACACCCCTGGGCACACACATTTTAAAATACAATTATGGAAACAACAAATAATCATATACATGTACAAGTAATGTTACAAGTACATGTACAGAGTCTGACTAAATACCAGTGGTCAGGTCATAGTATATGAACGTACTACTTTATCATAATCATCATCGTTCATTTCTTTCAATATCGTAAATTACTTGATGTTTGCTGTCTGAGAAAAATGGACATGTTCATGGATTTACGGTGGCAGTAGGACAGTGTAGCAGAAAGAAGGTCTATGAATTATTTGTTCACAGTAATGATATTAAAGTTCGTGGTACAGAAGTGACCGTGAAAACCATGAATATAAAAGTACTGTGAAAAAAATAATGATCTACAGTATTCAACTTTGTAATACTGCATAAAAACATTTGTTTGCATTACGTAAATCTATAGCAGGTGCCTGGTGCATATTACTTGTCAAGCACAGGAAAACTCGCTGAAGGAAAAAATGTCCCCTTGAAATACTATCACTGATAACAGTAGACCTTGCACAGTCTCAAATAACCTCTTAGGATTGTGCCCCAAGTTTACCCTAGAAGAGAAAATGCAGTGAATGTTCTTGCTATATAAACCCTCTCTTGTCTGGTTTCCAAAGCCTCCCAAATCCCTGTTTGTACACGTAGGTTACAGCTTCCAACACAAACTGTTCTCTGTTAGGCCCAGGAAAAAAAATGTTGTGTTTCCTGTTTCCCGACCGACCCTTGAAAAACCTGCCTACCCTAGCCTTGTTTTTGGTGAATCGCAGCAAGTACATACTTTTTAGAGCTGATCAAGCTTTTCCTGCTCCATGATCTGACACCTGAGAGATGAAACATTGTACAATCGGTTTTCCAATGACTGTGCCCCACGTTTACCCCAGAACTTAGTAGTAGGAAAATGCAGTGAATGTTCTTGCTATATAAACCCCCTTGTCTGGTTTCCAAAGCCTCCCAAATCCCTGTTTGTACACGTAGGTTACAGCTTCCAACACAAACTGTTCTCTGTTGTGGTAAGAAGTAGGAGTATGTCAGGTATGTTTGGGGAAACCAGCGTCTGTAGTTTGCATTCAGCACCCTTTGTTCAGTCTTGTTGGCAAACATGCCTTAACATACCTTTAAATGAAGACTGCCCTGCATTTAGAAATCAGGTGAAAAAGGAACAAAGGGTTGGGAGGAAAACTTGAATATGTCTGACTGTGTATTGAGCTATTAGATTAGACCTTGCCCCCAAGACTCTAAATTCTAATCATGTTGATACCCTAACATTAAGAAGGGATTAAGTTTCAGGGTCAAGGTTGTTTCTTAAGTACATCCTTTTGGTTATCAGGTAGACCTTGGTTCAAGCTGGTTCATGCATTATTAAGATAAGTTACTTATGCTCCAAATGATGTCTTACACAAGGACATACTACTAATTACAAAATTACTGTTTTCCCTGACCAATACAAATTTGGTGCCAAACAACTACCTTTCCTCCCAACCCTTTGTTTCTATCTTGCAAAATTTTTCCTCGAAATTACAAAGAAACAAACAAATAAATTGGAATGGCCCGGAGATGCCCTGACAATGTCCATACATGTGTGTACTTGAACTTGTCAGCTGACTTGTTGGCCCAACACTCAGGCCACCATTTGAGAGATCTATCCTGGCAGCTGTAGTTTTTGCCTCAAAACGTATAAGAAACACACAAATAAATTGGTGTGGCCCGGAGATGCCCTGACAATGTCCATACATGTGTGTACTTGAACTTGTCAGCTGACATGTTGGCCCAACACTCAGGCCACCATTTGAGAGATCTATCCCACCAGCTGTATTTTGCAGCCCCCATGGCCAGTGTTAACAAGTCCCACTGACAATACAGGTATGTAAGCCTGGTTATTTTGACCACAGAGCCACACATGGCGGAACACAGGGAGCCTTTTGGTCTGGCACAATGTGCAGGGGTTTCCTAAACTTGTTACACAGCATGTGAGTCCTGAGAAACTTGTTCAGGCCCTGCTAGGCCTTGGAAACATCAGTAGCAAGTACATGTACATGTATATCCTCTTGGTTGGTGTGTGGGCTGGACTGGTAACTTTGGAGTGGCTGAACTTCTTATTTGGGCCACAGAAAACCACAGGAGGCATTTTAAAACTAATTTCAACAGAAGAAGTGATGATATCACTTTTAAGTAATCCTTATAATAAGACTGCAGCTCTAAGACTTTTGTGGGCCTGTTCCAAAATTATTTTACTTTAAAATTTATTTATGCACAGTTTATCAGCCAATTTGGCTACTGCAACTCAATATTGCATATTCTAGAATTTTTCATTATTATCAACTGAAGGCAAACTCTATGGGATTCGAACCCCAATCTCTCTTGTCTAGACGAACAAAAAAAAATGGTCAACCAGTAACAGATCCATAACCTACACAGAAGTTTGCAATGCAGAAGCCCTAATGTCATGTCACTCACCACCTATGCATACTGTTAAAACATTCCTTGCAAAAGATTCTACAACTGATCATTATTCCCAGCCTAACTCGCATTAACTCTTTGCCATCTTCCGCATCAAAGTATTAAACTGCTCAAACATAGTATCAACTCCACGTAACCAAAGTTAAACACATCGCAGTGTTGTTACCAAAACCCTGCAGTGTAGGAACCTTATAAGGGTAGATAGAACAGAGTTTGAAGTGTGGGTAATGCCAGGCTGAGTGTGTATAAGACCAGGGACTGGTGACTGATCCGGCTGTGTTGAAAGGTTTGGTCCAGACAACTGCACTATAGCGGCTCTGTTTACCTCAAGTAAATGTTAAGTTCACAGAGAGTGCTGAGATGTAGAGTTGGTTACTAAATTCCTAGCAGAGGTTTAAGCATTGACTTATTTTTGCAGCGTTTTTTGGAGATTTTATGGGTCTTTCTCAATAAGAATCATTGATTGAGAAGTCAAATGTTATATACATATATAACATATAACATCATACTCATTTCTTGACAAAAACTGGAGGTGTACAGTTAAAAATTCCAAAATGTGTTAAAAATTACAGTTTAAATTTCCTACACAATAAGATACCTTAGAATGGAATGGGACAGACAGAATTGAATAAAGTATAGAACATAGAAAACTTGAAAACATTTGTCAGTATACAAAATTTGAATGAGGATTTTAGGTCTGATGTTTCATCCAACCTGCAACACCTGAAAAATATATTGATTTTTTTTTCTTAAACAGCAGAATTGGGGCAGAATGACAGTGCTCGTACCCATTAACAAAATGGTGTAAATTGAGTCGTGGTCACGATCCTTTCATGAAGCCACCGCAAAATGGGAGAATAGCTCATATTTGACCTGGAACTGTCAGGAAATGAGTGCCATTCCTGTAAGGCAACTTGACGCAAAATGGCCTAATTGAATTTTGTAGCACTTGTTTGAAGCACATTTTGCATCTACGGAAGACATCATTTATTTTATAAGATCAAATTTGCAGGGCCTAATGTTATATACTAAAGCTACGTACAATTCCAAAATTCACACCAAAAGTTATGTTATTGGATTGAAAAAAAATGGAGCATTCCAAGATTATTCTATAGGAGTTTATGAAGCACATTTTACATCTACGGAACGCATCATTTATAAGATGAAATTTGCAGGGCCTAATGTTATATACTACAGCCACATACAATTCAGAAATCCACACCAAAAGTTATGTTATTGGATTGAAAAAAATGGAGCATTCCAAGATGATTCTATAGAAGTTTATGAAGCACATTTTGCATCTACGGAATGCATCATTTATAAGATGAAATTTGCAGGGCCTAATGTTATGTACATGTACTAAAGCCATGTAGAATTCCGAAATTCACACCAAAAGTTATTATATTGGATTGAAAAAAATGGAGCATTCCAAGATAATTCTATAGAAGTTTATGAAGCACATTTTACATCTACGGAACACATCATTTATATGATCAAATTTGCAGGGCCTAATGTTATATACTAAAGCCACGTATAATTCAGAAATTCACACTAAAAGTTATGTTATTGGATTTTTAAAACTGGAGCATTCCAAGATGATTGTGTTGGAGTTTATGGACTGTGTTGCCTCAAACGAGTGTTGTGACCTTTTGGCTAACGAGCAATAGAAGATTTAACGACTTGTAATTCGGCTGTTGCCAAGGCTTGTACCACATTCCAGGGGGTCACAAAGGTGAACCAGGTGCATGGTGGTATTCAGTAGCCACCTAGGACTCTGGTTACTGTATGGTTCTATTGTTTCTGACCTTGTAGAAGAAGGTTAAGCCATGGAAATGGCACTGGATTAGAGATAGTACGTTTTGTTCTATAAAAAAACATTTTTTGGGGTAGAGAAAGGTTTTTGGTTTTAAGGTTGCTTTTTCCAATTTTTCCTGTTTTGTTTTCATAAATTGTATTCTATCATTTATCAAACAAAAGAAGAGGAACTTTAGAAATCAGGTAATCAAATTTCTGTAAGAAAAATAAAGCGTATGTAATTTTAGAGTAGAGAATTGTGAATAAGAATCAACATAATATATAAATATTTTGCAGTGAAAATGCTAATTTTGCCCTACATATACCTGTAACCAAATTGATCTTGCTTCTGGCTTGCCTTACCTACAGCAAGCCATATCGTTACTTAAACGAGTTTGGATTTAACACATAAACTTTCTGGCTCAGCGGTATTTTCCCTCTAATCTCACCACCACACGCCGAAAAGCTTTCCTCGCACTCACACACATTATTCAACTTTCTCTTAACACTTTACCACCCACAATAAGTATAACACCACCAGTGTCTCCTATAGAGAAGAAATACCACTAAAGCTTTATTGCTGAATGCTTTATCATAGCTTTTACAGAAAAGATCACACCTCGCGCTCCGTGTGTTTGTTGCCCATCCCTCTCCTTTGAAGTCCTAAGCCGGTTTGCGACG